TCCCCCCCCCCCCCCCCCACACACACACACGCACCTGATGAGTATGAACCCCCCCATGAGCGCGGGCGCGATGTTGTCGGCGTGGTACCCGCTGACCACCGCCTCCGAGGCCAGCCCCGCGATGATGAGCGTGTCCTTGCTCAGCGGGCAGCCAAACAGGGTGTTGACGGCCCAGGCGGAGGCGGCCGCGGAGGCCGCGCTGCTGCCCATGCCCGACCCCAGCGGCAGGCCCTTGCGCAGCGTGAGCGCCACGCCGCACGACGGCGCGCCGCCCAGCAGCCGCAGCGTCTCGATCGCCGCGATGCCTGCGGGCGAGGCGGCGCCACAGCGGGCGGGCTGAACGGGCGCTGCAGGCTGTGGCGGGCGCTGGCCGCAGGACGCGACCACGCTGGAAGGAGGCACAGAGAAGCGCTGAAGGCACACAGGGCCAGTCGGGCGACAGCAGCACCCCTGGGGGCGCCGCCGCCGCCGCCGGCCTGCCGCCCCCAGGCAGCTGTCCCCCCCGCCCGCACCTATGCAGTTCTTGGGCGCCTCCAGCGACAGACGCCCGCCATCGCCCTCTATCGACTCGATCACCACCTCGCCGGGCCGGTCGGGCAGCACCCGCGCCGTCACCACATCGCCGTCGCCCTGCGGGCAGGCCAGGCCGGCATGCGTCGCCGAGGCGGTGGGCCAATGTTCTGTGGCCAGCGGCTACACTGCAAGCTGGGCACGCCTGGCGCGCACAGTGGTTCTCGCTCCCGACAGCTCAAATGCGCACCTCCACCGCGCAGCCCATCCAGTCAAAGCCGGGGCCCAGGTTGGCGACGGTGGCCGGCGCAAACGCCGCCGCCTCCTGCTCCACCGGGTCGATGTACACCTTGCCCTGCCCCGCCACCTGCTGCGCCCTGGTCACCTGCTGCACCCTGGTGCCCCGCCTGGGGCAGCAGCGGCCCTGCAGGCGGGCCCCCGCAGGGCGCTGCATGCGCATGGCCCGCATGGCGAGCGGATATGCCACAAAAATGAGGCTGATATGTGTGGTGCTGCAGAAAGCAGCTTCGCGACAGCAGGAGAGAGGCTGGCAAGTTTGGTGGAGGGGGCGGGCTGTCTCAGATGGCGGCAAAAGCCCAACTCTTCGGCTTCTCAACCACCCCGATCTACGTCACCAATGAGGGATCGCCATGCGGGCAGGAGCACAACGTACCTATGTACCTTTGTACCTCGCTGAATCACATCATCCGCATGTGACCACTCTCGAGCCACCCTAAGCCGGCCCAGCGCCCCGTGGTGCGTGTTCCTTCAGTTTTGAGATCCCAGACGCGTGTCGCGGGAGCTCCTGAGCTCGGAAACTCGAACATGGCGTCCGTGGTCGGGCAAAACCTCCCTTCCCACGACCACTCTGCGCGCGACGTGGGGCTGGAGTGCGACGGCAGCCACGTTAGCAGCAAGAAGGGCTCCTGGAAGGGTGAGACTGCCTAGTTACTGCTTTCTCGCCACTGGGACCGGCTTCTGCTGGCTTCTGTGCGTCCAGCAGCCGTCAGGCTAAACCTAGCAATGCTGCAAGAACTAAAACTAGCATTTGGGGCCCCGCAAGTCCCCGCATGCGGGCGGAGCAAGTATCCCTTCTGCAGCATTCAGCTTGTTTTGTGCCTGGGGGGCAGTGTAGCACGCAACGATAGTGGAGAGGCGCGGCCATTCTTAACCTGGGAGCGCAGCGCCGGCTCCTTCAGCCGCCGCCACCTGGCCGCCCACCTCCCCTCCCGCTGCTCTCCTCTTCCTCCGCACTGCAGGCCACGTGCTGCCAGGCGTCACATTCATCGTCTGGGGCGCCTGGTGGGCCTATAGCTGCATCACTTTTTACCTGTGGCGGAGCGCACGGCGCCCTTACCGGGGGCGGGCGTGGTACCCCTGTGGTCTCTTCGCGGGCTGGTTGTGGTTCCTAGAGCCGGGTGAGGTGGTGGTGAGGGGGGGTGAGGTCAAGGACAGTGGCTGGCGTGACTGTGGTTGGGTGAAGTCGCGGCAGGCGAGGGCAGGCGAACATCGACCACCAGCATTTGGTGTGCGGTGCAGTGCTCAAGGTCGCGGTGCCGGCGGTGGCAGTCACAATGGAGCTGCTGGTGGATCACGATCCAATGGCATACAGGTGCGGCCAAGCCCCCCAAGGCCCAGCTTGCAATTGGGGGGCGACCAGCTGGCCGGACAGCTGGCGGCAGGGAGCCGCCTCGCTGAGAAGCCCCGCCGCCGCTTCCTGCCACCCGTGCCAATTTCTACTGCGTGGTGCAGGTATCTGTACTGCCCCGAGGGCACCAAGTACGCCGGCCGCTTTGCGCTGTCCCACCTCAACAACTGGCAGCACGCCGCCTCCTACCCCGCCATTGTGATGTCGGGCCTGGTGGACATGGCCGCACGCTTTGTGCCGCTGCCGGCCGGCACCTGCCAGGTGGGTCTCCCAGCGCTGGGGCAGGATGCCTCGCATTGGTTGAAGGTGCTGGCAGCTGTAGGAGGTCCCCAAGCGAGCGGCCTGGTTCGCCCAAGTCGGAGCCAGCCTGGTGCAGCAAGCCTTGGCCTCTGCTGCCGCCCCCTCCGCCAGAGGCCAGACTCCATGCTCCCTGCCCTGGCCCCTCAGCACAGGCTTTGCTGGGCTCTGCATTTGGCGTGATGGCCTTCCTGATGGGCACACACGAGAAGCACGAGCCGCAGGTGAGTGGGCGGGGCAGGGCAGCAGGGGCTTGTTGTGGTGGGTGGGTCGGTGCAAGGGGCGGTGTGTGTGTGTGTGTGGGGGGGGGGGATCTGATGGCTGCATGCGCCCGGTTGCTCCACCGCAGCATCCCGCATAGCAGCAGCAGCAGCTTCAGCAGCCAGAGGCCGCTGCCGAGATGCTGCGGGCCAAGCCCGCCACCAAACGTGCCCTGCGCTGTCCGTCCCTCCTGCGCCACGCCCCAACAGGACAAGATAGTGCACTGGCTGCTGTTTGTGGCCATGGCTCTGTGCACGGTGATGGTGTTCCTGGAGATGACGGTGCGGCGCAGCGTGCTGGTGGGGATGGGCAAGGCGGCGGCGCTGATCTTCCAGGGCGCCTGGCTCATCCAGATCGCGGCGGTGGAGTTTGAGGGTGAGGCTGGAGGCTGAGAGGAGCGGGGTTGGGCTCCTGGGGCAGGAGCGGCCCCCAAGCTGCTGCACTCAGCGGCTGTACCCACCTGGCCACGCCTTTGCCACCTGGTGGTGCGGGACGCAGGCCGTCAGCTGCACACTTGGCCGCACGGGTGCCTGATCCTTGCCCCCCTGCAGCCACTCAGCCCTGCCGCTTCCGCGTGTGACGCCCCGCAGGCCGCCCCCAGTGGAGCGAGGCGTACGGCGGCGGCACCATGTTTGCCCCCGCCGCCTTCTCCTTCATCCTGGTCCTCACCCTGGCCTGCATGCTGGCCTTCTATGCACTGCTGGCGCTGCTCAGCCGGCGCAGCCTGCTGCCGCGCTCGTCCCTGCTGCCGCCGCTGGAGAGCGAGGAGTGGCAGGAGGAGAAGGAGCAGGTGAGGCCTGACCCCTTTGTGCCGGCTGCGCCAGCCGCCAGGCGCTGCACTGCGGCTGCCTTTGGATCCGGAGCCGGCTGCTGCTGCCATGGTTGTGCCCAGCTGTGCGCTGTGGGGTGAACCCAGGCCGGCCGGCCCTGGTTCCAACAGCTGCTGCCTTGCATTGCAGGAGCGCGGCGGTCTGCTGCCCCGCCACCACCACCACCACCACCACCGCTACGACTCGGCCAACGCTTCTGACGACAACGAGACCACCGAGGGCGAGCAGCTGCTAGCGTTGACCAGCTCGCGCAAGCCTCGCGGCGACGGCGCGGGCGACGGCGTGGTTTCCCTCCAGCTGGCCGCCACAGGCGCCGACACTGCCTACGTCTGAGCCACGTGGGCGCGTGCTCACATGGCACCGGGCGCGTGCTCACATGGCATGCGCCGGCCATGGCGATGCCACCACCCACGTATGTGTGTGCTTCTCTGTGCATACTGGAGCTCAGCTGGAACTCTCCCCCATGCGACCCCTGCCCTGGCAGCCCCCGTTGCGTGGAGCGCGGCGGCCCTCAGGCATACCCAATTGCTTCTCAGGCAGCACCCCCAACACTCGCACCACCATCCACCCATTGTACCGATCCCTTCCACCTCGCCATGGCGCAGCATTGCTGCCGGCGCCCCCTGGTGCCTACAACCCGACCCCCTCTCATCACTGCCTACCCGCCCCGCCTGCGCCACACCGTCCCCGCTGCATTGAACTGGCGGGGACGTGGAGATGGGTAACTGCCATGTTTGTCCATTTATCCCACACCAAGACCACCATTTCGTCATTCCTCTCTCCCCTAAGTTTTCACTATCGCTTGGTCCCCCTATCGGCTGCCCTGTGAGCGCCACTCTCTTGCACCCCAGTTAATGTTTTTTTCCCTCCCGCCATGTTGTGCCATCTCCTCCCGCGGCTGATATCATGAGCCGGGGGAGAACTGGATGGCATCGTGGAAGCCTGTTGGTAACCCCTTTCATTGAATTGTCCCCCTTTCGCTATCGAGCGATTACTGCCCCGCCGGCCCATGCGCGCCCTGCGGCGTTCGCGTTGTCTCCTTGCCTGTTTACCCACCCCATTGCATCCTACGACCCCTTGAAGGGACCCCACTAAAGTATTTTCCTGCCGCGGTGTACATCAAACTCCTATTGCGGACGCATGCCACATATGTGGTCGCCGGCGGCCTACCCGCCTGCCTGGGGGTGCACCGCTGCCCAAGGCGGATGATGAGGTGCCTCACCAGCCAAGCCCATGTTGCCTCCGTGTAGAGATCTATTCAGATGGATGCCAGGGGTGAGAGGAAGAGGGTCAGGGAAGCCTCTGCTACTGCTGCATGTGCTATAAGAGAGGGGGACAGCCGCAGCTGCCTGCCGCGCGCCGCGCGGCGGCAGGACAGAAGGCAGTGGCTGAGGAACGCCCTCCCCTCAGGCACTGGGCTGCAGTCCGCGGATGGTGGATGCCCCTTCTATTGTGAGGAGACTGAAGGACGGAGGAGGGAAACCATGTGTTGCCACATGGCCTTGCATGGGTCCTTGGCAGCCAGCCGGTAGCCACCATTTTTCTGCCATGGCACGCTGTGTTTTGTCAATCTTTAGGTTTCTCCTACCTCTCACGCCCCCAGGAGCGCCCTCCCCCAACTTGCACGTTTTGCACTTGCATAATTGAGGACCTCCATCAACCCCTTTGGCGTACTGGACCCGAACAGGTCGGGTTTCGTGCTGCACACTCTGTGCAATGAACATGGTGCGGTCTGAAAGAGCCGTGGACGCCCTAGTCCCCCGACTGCTGCTGCATCCCCCACTTGCGCAGGTTCTGCGGGCTGCAGCGGCCCCCAATCCACGTGCACCCCACCGAGGCACATTGCAGCACATATAAGGCTCGCAGGTGCTTGTGGCAGCGGCGGGAAGTGTGTAGTACCATCGCGACATGTCAAGCATGGGTTTCTCACAGCTGGCTGGGTGGGTGGCCCTCTCCCTAGCAGCATGCTGCAACTCAACACCTCCGATGCGCTGCTGCAGGGAAAGCCGTTGCACCCAGGCGGGGCGGTGGCCCAACCCAGCGGCTCAAGCTGACGGTGTGTACAGGGTCCCAGTGCAACACCAACATTGACCTCTTCCCCTTCAATGGATGCTGTTGGCAATCAGCCGCTGGTTGGGGACATCTCCTTGAATTCGCTAAACAAGCCCCTTCCCCCAAACTGCAGTATAGGAGATGGAGCAGCAGGGGCAAGAGGAACCGCAAGGTTGGGCAGTGCCGCCGCAGCTCCCCACCCAACAGCAGCTCGAGCTTCTGCGGGATGCTTCATGGCAGGCTGCGGGCGGCAGCATGGCTCAGGCCATGAAAGCCGTGCAGATGGCATGGGTGAGCCTGCTGCCTGCAGCCTCGTTGCCCGTGCCTGAGTTGCACTTGCAATCCCAGCTGGAATCCAACAGAGGCTTGTGAACTGCTGTGCCACCCCTTTCCCCATGCAGAGCCGCGCCAAGACCCGTCTTCCGGGGCTGCGGCCCACGCTGCTGGGCGCCATGCCCGCTGTGTGGGTCCTGCTGCCGGGCAACCCACAGCGGCCGCACCCAGCAGGCGCCCTGCTCGTGCAAGTGGCGCAGCCACCTCTAGCGCTGTCTGCCGAGGAGCAGCAGCTGATGCTGGCGGCCGATCGCGGGCTGGTGCCCGCACTGCGGCTGCTGGTGTACGCACGAGAGTGCGGCACGCTGCTGCAGCGCCGGGACTGGGTGCTGGCCGGCGAGCACGCGCCGCGGCAGCACCCCAGCTTTGGCGTTCCAGCCTGGGACAGCGGGTGAGACCGCTCCCTGCTTGTGGCTCATGGCCGGTGGTTGCGCGAGTGCATACAAGCGCTGCTGCGTGCGCCATCTGTGCTGTGCATCCATTGCAAGCTAGCGGCAGCAGCCTGCACCCCTGTTGATCTGTGGTGCTTGCCTTGTCCCGCAGCGATGGCTGGACGCTGCTGTTTCCGGCCAAGTCGGCGCACCAGGCCCACCTGTTCAGCTGTGAGCCTGGCACGAGCGCTGCACCTGCCATGCCTGCGCTTCCCGCACTGCACCGGCACCTGCTGCCCTGGAGCCGGCTGCCCATGATGGGCTGGCGTTGTGCACGTTGCCGCATACCCGCCAGCGCCATGTTCCTCATCTTGCAGGCCTGGTCGCCACTTTTGGGGTCGAGCGCACCCAGCTACCTCCCGGCACACCCGCCTTCCCTGTGACACCCCCAACGCACGACCACCCGCAGCCACCGCTTCTGCAGCAGCATCCGTGGCCTGGCATGCAAGAGCAGCCAGCCCCAGGACACGGCCCCGGCCCTGCGTACAGCGTGATGGGCCAGGGGACACGGGCGGTGGCTGCTGCGGCGCCAGCAGCAGCAGACCATCTAGCATGCACCGCCACGTCCCCGCCAGCGCTGCCGCCCCACTTTTCCGAGTCGGCAGCACCGCAGCAGCTGTCCATGGCGGACAGCGTGACGCAGCATGCGCTGCTGCCGCTGTTGTGTGGTGGTGTGCCCGGCGGCCAGGTAGCTGCAGCAGGTGTGGCGACCGCTCCCGCTCCAGACCATGACCACCAGTTTTCAGACTCATGGGACCCAGAGGCCGGCAGCGCCAGCGCTGCAGCGGCACGGTGGCAGCGCCGGCAGCGGGTCTCCGCCGCCGGCACCCCCGCACCCCCCCTGGTGCCATCCACGCACCTGGTTGCGGCTGCTGCTGCGGCTATGGCACGCAGCGGCACCACGATGGACAGCGAGTGGCAGGGGCGGTGGGCGCCGCCGCTGTGGGCCGACCCTGCCGCGCACCCCGTCTTACAGGACGACATTCTGGAGCTGGTAGATTGGGGATAGCCTACCTGCGCCAGGTGGTCGGCCGGCACCCCGTGCAGGAGCCCGACGTCACTGCAGGTGGACATTTTTCGTCCGCACAGCCTGAGTGGCCGCCCCGCTGCTCACCAGTCGCCAACTCTGGTCTGTTCCACAACTTTTACTTTCATTTCGCTTCTTCTCCTTCGAGATGACCAACTTCTCACCCAGCGTTTCATGCCTTGCACTTGGGCGATATCACGACACCCTCTTGCTTGTGTGGGCTTAAAGTCTGGTAAAGCAAGAACTAGCTTGCAGCATAGACTCCCCGCCGAAACGGGACGGGAACCGGGCGAAAGCAGAGAAAGCAATAAATCAGGGGTGGAGCAAGGCGACATGCAACGCAAGCCTCTACATCGACGACCTGGAAGAGGAGCTGATGGCGGCGGCGCGGCGTGGCGAGCAGCTCGACCTCCCCAGCTTCCTCGGCAGCGGCGGCGCCGCGGTGCCGCTGCTGCTGTACGCCGACGACATGGTCCTGCTGGCCACCTCAGCGGCCGGGCTGCAGCGGCAGCTAAACCTGCTCCAGCAGTACTGCCGGCAGTGGGGCCTCACTGTCAACATCGACAAGACCAAGCTCATGCTGCTCAGTGGGCGGCGGACCCAGCACGCGGCGCAGCAGACAGCAGAGGCAGCAGGCCTCACCTTCGTCGGCCAGCAGCTGGCGGCAGTCACCAGCTTCAAGTATCTCGGCATCGCCTTTCACTCCAGCACCTGCCTGGCAGGGGCAGCAACGCCAGCCCGGGCACAGCTGGCGCGCCTGGCTATGCACAACTGCCGGACCCGCTGCGCAGAGGTGGGCATCGAGGCGGCGCCCGTCCAGCTGCGGCTTTTCGGCACCATGGTGGACTCGGTGCTGTCCCATGGTGCTGAGGTGTGGGGCGTGCAGCTGGCGGCCAAAGCGGCGTGCTGCCATCGTGGCAGTGCCGGCAGCGCGGCCGAGAAGCTGCAACTCAGCTACCTACGCCACCTGCTGGGGGTCCGGCAGAGCACCCCCAATGCGGCCCTCCTTGCGGAGACTGGCGAGCGCCCGCTGTGGCAGCGCTGGCTGCGGCGGGCAGCCAAACTCTGGAACAAGACGCTGGAGGAGCGTC